GGCCAGCATAGGAAACTAGGCCTGCTGTCCTCATTGGCACCTGTGGTGCATGCCTGGTCTGTGAAAGTTCCGTCAACATAGGGAGGTGGCAAACTACGAAGGTCCTACTGTTCTTCCATGTCACTAGGTGGTGCTCTCTCCTAGTTCTGGGTCATCCCTAACTCATGAACTTTGCTCAAATAAACTGACAAATCTGCCTAAGGTTTTTCTTTTAATAGTTCTCAGATATTTACATCACCATTGAAACATGTTGAGGACAAATTTATTAACTGATGTTTTGTTAACATTTAGTATTCCAATTAATTTTATTGTTTCATTAGATAGTAGATGTAAACATATGAGATGGTTATTTCACATTATACCCTCTAAAATGGCCAATTTTAAATGAAGAATATGTCATTATAGAAATTGAAAAGAAAAGTAAAAGTGCACAATTAAATTGGTATGTAGAAAAGCCAAGATATGCCGGGCACAGCGGCTCACACCTGTTATTCTAGCATTATAGGAGTCCAAGGAAGGAGGATTGCTTAAGGCCAGGAGTCGGAGACCAGCCTGAGCAGGAGCAAGAAGAACCCATCTCTTCAAAAATAGAAAAACTGGCCAGGTATAGTCCCAGCTACTTGGGAGGCTAAAGTAGGAAGATCACTTCACTCTAGCCCAGAAGTTTGAAATTCCAGTGAGCTATGACTATGCCACTGCAGTCTAGCTCTAGAGACAAAGCAAGACTCTGTCTCAGGGAGGTGGGGGGCAAACCAGAACAAAGAACAATTTCAAAAAAATTAATATGATGGTATTATAATTTATGAACATTTGCTATATATAATATTGGGATATATTTGTAGTTGTGGACAGAGCAGCCAATTAAGTCCATATATAAAGTTTTCTATATTAGAAAACTTTTGATAAAGGTAAAAAAATACATCATTCATAAAAGTCCAACTTTATCAGATAAGTAGCAGTTTTTGAAAAAGTATAATCCATAAGTAGAATATCAAAGTGCAACATTTACTTACAATTCTTAACTTTCTGTCACTGTAAAATAGTCAACATTTGGATGGCAGAAAATAAATCAGTCTTAGTGATCAAAACATACACTAATATTAAGAGAAATTAGAAAATATTCAGTATGGTACATAACTTTATATTCATTTTACTGTAAAAGAACATTTTTCTTTTAGTGAAAAAAATCTGACTATTTAAATAATAAAAGTCACTTAGGAAAGTAGGCAGAGTGTTAGCCTCCACTTCAATATGTCAAGAAGAGCATATGAAAAGTATGTGCAGAAACTACTAATTAATTGTGCCCAATTTCTCTTCTCTCCTCTTCTTTCCTGAGTAACAGAACTCTACATTTTAGTTGGGCTCATCACATGGGAGGGGGGATTATACTCCAGCCCCTCTTGCAACTGCTCAAGGCTAGTCACTAAGTTGTCAACAATGGATACAGATAGAAGTGGTGTGTGTAAATTACAGAACATATCCCTGAAATAAGAGACATGTCCCCTATTGTCACTTCCCTTCCTCCTGTTATCTAGAATGCAAAAAAAAAAAAAAAAAAAGAAAAGAAAACAAAATCAAAAATCATCGTGGATATTCTGGCATCAGTCTCAGACCACAACACAGAGAAGCTACATTGAGAAGAGGAACAGTCAATGTGGTAAAGGAACTTTCATGCCTGGATGATTGGGATTGTTGTATTAGCCGCTGTATCTAGACGGTTCCATCAGAGAGGAATTGAATTCTGTCTCGTTTGAGCCACTTTTACTTTAGGACCACTTCAACCTCCTCCAACAAAAATCATTTAGTGTACTTTATGATGAATTATCTTAAATTTCTTTACAAATTCTCAAAAAATAATTTTACATAAAATATTATATTCCAAACCCAGAAGACTGGACTATGTTAGGAGGATTCACTTTTTATTTCAGGTCAAGATTAAATAGGAAGATATATTGGCCTTTTCATTTTTTAAAAGTCTTATATAAATGAGGTATTTTCTCATGTAACTCCCCCCGCCCCTGAGCACCTTTATCCTTGACAAATTACATTCTTACTTCACCTTAAGAAATGATTGCGATATTGTCAATTTTGATTCTGTAACTGACATGAACAACAGGAAATGCAAATACAATTAAGTCTTTTGATACAATAAAGATTTCCCCAAAGACCTAGAGTAGGGTGTTTTCCACACTTCTTTAGATTCCTGATGTCGTTTCTGAAATAACTGAATTTGTTTCTCACAGTAAATCAGTTCTATGTGGAAATATGTGCCATATACATTAAAAGTAAATTAATACAAAAATATCCTTTAGAATGCCTTGACTGCAAACAAAATAATTTCTTATTTGTTAGGAATAAAAATCTCACATATTTAAAAGAAATTCTGACTAATATGGACAAATGCAAATAATATTTATTTAATGCTTTCATGCATCAGGCAACGGGTCTTCAGATTTATGTGTGTAAAATCTTATTTTAGCCAATATCAAGGAATGCAGATTAATATGCAGAATCTAGAGATAAGTAAAGCGATCCATACTTCAGTTACTTTAACAAGTAAAAGAACCTGAAAAACCATGCCTTTCCCATATGAGAAGCAAAATTTGAATACTGGTAGACACTAGTAATCAAAACAGTGAAAATTATTTTAATGTGTTAAATTATCTTTTAATATAAAACAGAGCAGCTTTTGAGGAAGTAATTATTTTGCTCATTTGTCATTAATAATGACAATGGAATTTGTTCTGGTCCTTTCTGTAAATGATTTTAATATGTACCAAAACTCATTAAAATGTCTAAAATCTTTGATGTAATATTCCTACTTCTGGGAATCTATCCTAAAATAAATTAAAACTTTGTAGAAAAATGTGCATGGAACAAAGATATTTATTGCATTGATATTTATGTGAGTAGTCACAAAGAATAATTAAATTTCCATGGTAGTAAGAGGAGTTAATTAAATCATGATATATCAAATCAAAATAATGATCCAAGAACTATCTCACAACATAGAAAATGATTATGCCACTTAAAACCTCTTCACTTAAAGAATCATGGAAATAAATAAACATGTGTGTGTGTATACACACACACACACACACACATATATATCACCCCTAGGATATAAACTACTATTAAAATTTGAAATTTTATTTTTACCCTACTATAAATATGCTATTTTCTTGTAACATTTTCATGCTTTTTTTCCATCTCTCTATATCTATCATTAAAACTGTTGCAATCGATATACCACCAGGAAAGTTGATGAAAATTTTGTATATATTTTTAAATGTCCATATAATTTGTACAAATCAATATTACGTTTAATGGTAAAAGTAAACATCTCTTCAAAATTGACATTTATTCTAATATCAATCAATAAACTATCAAAACATTCATCCTAGCTGACAGTTTTATCCTTAATAAAACTCCTACATAATGAAAATGACAGCTATACTCACCATAAGAAGAAAGATATGACCCCCAATCTACCTATGTGTAGGCAGGGGGGTTCAACTATTTTTTCTTTTCTGCCACACAGTGGAAGAATAAGAATCGTCTTGGGCCACGTGATAAATACACAAACACTTAGGAAAACTGATTAGCAAAATAAAAAGATCTGTGCATACTTTTCATGATGCATGACACAAGGTTTAAATAAAATAATTTCTGTAAAGTGGTTAGCAGAATGCAAATTTTGTGCCCAAAATAACTATGGTATTCAAAAATACTAGTAGCACTGGTGTAATTCGGGTAACTCTGGCATTTCAAGCAAACTATATTTATTCCTTTTTTTGCTTTTTTTAAAGATAGGCTCTACTTGTTTTATGTATTTTTTCACTTTTATCTTTTAAAGAGCTGGAAGAAAATTCTATACTATACTATGGGAATATAATTTTATTCAGGGATGGGTGACATAAAATAATTTTATTATATTTGCTTACTTTTTTCTCTTAAAGTATTTTAACATACTGAAGATCCTCAACTAATACTTTTGTTTCAATAGATAGGTAGTACTAGATAATTTTCCTGATGTAAATAGTCAAATGTATGACAACTTTGAAAAAATTAAATCTAAACTTTATAATTTTAGGAATGTTTCCCTCATAAATAAGTAATTAACAGGTCTCAATGTCTATCCAAATATGGCAACATTAGAAATAATTCATTAGTGTTGAATTAATACGTGTTCTTAAATCATTTGAATATGTATATCCAGAAACATAGACTCTCTAAAATTTTATTTAAAACAAACATATAATACACAACATGGGTTATTTGAAAGTTTTGAGATACACAAAAATCCAGAAATGCAAACTCCACACAGACAGAAATACATGAAACCTCCCGGCAGCGTGGATAATAAGCAAAGCAAGTTGAAATTTGCACAGATGAATGAGAAAGGACATTGTCAACTGGGTTTCTTGGAAGTGAAATAATGAACCATAGAACAGTCTGTCTCAAAACTTTCCCAGGACCTGGGTATTAGAGTCACTTATTTAAAAAGGCAAATAAAGCAACTATGTTACTTCAGCAATTAGACCAGCAGGGCCAGTTTTTACACAGTTGCTGAGGCATCATTCACATTGTAGTTGAAATAAATGGTTCTCCCTAGTGTGTGCAGTTCAAGTCAGAGCAGATATGTGTGGTGACCCTGGTGACAGGAGATAGGATACAAAGATGGATGGGATACGATCTCTGTCCTCCACATGGCTAATGGACTCCAGAGGACCGTAGCCAGTGTCTGCACACAGTGCAGTGGGAGTTCTGTCCCAGATAAATACACAGAATTTTTACTTAAGGAAGATGCCAATAAAAAGGTGTTAAAAATTACTTAAGCACTAAAATTCATCATTCCCATCTGTCTAACTAGCATTTTGTTTAAGCTACCTAAAATTTTCTTAAAAACTAAACCTGTTAGCTCAATATGTTCCATTCAACCAATCATTCTATCATAACTAAGATTTATTGGAATTTAATGTAAAACTTGTAATACTCACATCAAGATCATCCTTTGCATTGTAGTAGACAACTTCATTGCTCTACAAAAAAAAAAAGGGGGGGCATGCTTTATTGATTTGAATAATAAAAAAATACTGTATCAATACATTTAATGCATTTTGTACACATTTTAAATATTAAAATATTTATAATATTCTTTTCACAATATATCCCACAAAGATCCATAAAGATTAGCCAATATTTTTCTAGGAAATTAAAAGACTGAATCAGTGGTATTTGTAAAGCACATCTTGCATTGGGAAAAAGATCTGAGCACAGGTCTGAGAATCACTTTTTAAGAAAAAAACTAAAGTATGAATTCATTATGCAAGTTATATAAAACATATTATACATAAACATACATACATATGTATTAAATAATTAACAGGATAATTCAAGACGCATTTAAGATAAGCATCTTATTAACATTTTCTTGCAGGCCCGCCCACATGAGAGAAAACAGAATTAATTCAAGAAGGGGCATGAGAAAGAAGAAAGGGCCTCAGTAAGTGCCCCCCTAACAGGTACAATGTAGAGGTGTAGGCATACCTCCCAGGTGAAGGCCTCAAACACGACTCAGACTGTTCCTAGCAAACACAAATAATGTAGCCTAATTGTGTGTACCCTTATATTAATCTGAAATTAAAAAAACAAAAAATAAAAATATTTTGTTGAAAGCATGACTAATATACACTCATGCAATGTTAGTAGCAATTTCCTTCTGAGAGTCAGGTAAGGAACCATGAGCAACTGGGAATTTAGAGAGAAAAAAATCAGGATTATCTAACACACAAATAGTTTCATATTCTAGCATTCTAGCAAAGTAGTAAATCAGTGCTGGCTCTTTAGCAAGATTAAATAGATATGGACAACTCTGCTGAAACGTAGCTGAAAAATAACATAAATATAAATTAGGACAACATGTGGTACAATGGGAAAAATGAAAAGAAAGGATGAATAAAATGGCCATCAAAGAATATTTAAAACTCCCATTCATTGCTCTTTCCTTCCTTCTCCTGAACTACTTGGAGATACACATATAGTCCACCTTCCACAAGTCCTCAGGAGTATATTGACGACTATTGAAAGATGCTCTTTCTACGCCTCTTAAACAGCCACAAACATAGACACTCTAAAATTTTATTTAAAACAAACACATAATACACAATAGTTTTAAAAGAAAAATTACTTGGGGTAAAAATCACTAAATTAGTGCATCTCAAAATCTCTAGATCTTCAAAACATTAATAGATGTTACATAGGCCAGAGCATTTCACGATCATATGACTTTAGAAAACAAAAAAGCTAAAATTATCTCTTTTCAGCAGGATTTCAGTATGTGATTGTAAATCTCCAAGAAGAATATATATCTTATTTTGTTTCTCAATTTATTTACCATAGAAAATTATCTTTGTTTGAGAAATATAGTAAGAAACTGAAGATCAAAACTACACACACACATATCAGACACACGATTGTATGATTCACCATATTGAAGGAAACCCATGAGTTGGAATTCATTTCATTGAGAATTATCAAAGCCTTTTAAGTCATTGCATTTCTTTTTTTAAAAAAGAATTATCAAGCAGTTAGAAAATGTTAACACACACACAAGTTCTAATTCCTGAGACACTTACTGCATTCATTTTATAACAGTTAATATAAAAATCACATCTCATCACATCGACAAAACAAGAGAATCTTCTGAAACCACCAGAGACCCAAACCTAATTACTAGTTTATCGATCCCACTTGCAACTCTGTAATTTATACTTAGGGAACAATTTTCAAGGTAGAATATGAATTCCAGCAAAAGTTAAAACACTGAGTGAGTTTGTTTTCATTTTAGACTTTATTTTCTGCCATCCTTTTGCTCTTGTTCATAGAATTGGATCACATAGAAAACAAGGTAGAGCTACGTTATATTCCAGGGAGTTCAGCAGCATTTCCAGCAGATATTCCCTAAATGTCAATATGCATATACGGCCATGCCAAGATAGGCACAAAATAAGTTCAATAGATCTACTCCTACACTTTAGGTCAAACGATGGACACAGGGCAATTACATAAAACAACCTGGGTAGGCAGGATTACGCTCAGCCCATAGTACTACAACTTAGGGACTAGGTTCATTAGAGAACTTTTTTCCTAATAAATAATTAATACAAGTAAAAATTATACTATTTTAGGTATTTATTAAATCTATGATTAAACATTTCTCATACTCTGTGAAAAGTATGATAACAAATATGATACTGGTATTAAATCAAAACTAAGTTTTTGGGTTCTGCTAAGGTAAACTTTGCATAAAATTACAATGAGTAAAAATTTTAAAAAAAGAACGTCTATTTTCTCACAGTTTCCAAATGTTTTTCTTTTTTTATTATACCATACTTCACACAAAACTCTGTTACCTAGCTTTTCTTTCAGAAACACCATATCGCAAGGTGCTATTGTATAAAAATGAGCATTCTGAACTCTGAAACTGTTTTGCTTCTAACACTGTTATTAAAAATATGTATTCCAAAGCTTATTTAAATTTTATACATTTGCATAAGGCTTTCTAAATCCTAAAGTTTACTTTTCTAAATAAAAATCCCAAATACTAAGTTTTTAAGCAAACTGAAAAAAATTAAAAAGTCATAAATTATATTGCATGTCAAGATCCACATTCCTTACTCTAATTGGTTATTCTATACTTCCATTTCAAAAATATTCTTTCTTAACAGAACACTAAATTCTTACACTGCCAAAATATAATTGCAAAGAACAAAATGTTAACATATCTATAGAAAACAAAAAGCAGTGAAACACTTATTCAAACATCAGTGCTTAGGCAGGTTGTCAAGTTATAGAAAGAGAATACAGACCTCAGTGGAACACGCATTGCTCATGTCAAGTGTCAGGACTGAACTTCTCCACCAATAAATGTTTTATTTATCTTGGCTCAAGAGCATTTTCTGTATCTCACATCATAAATATGCTTTCCTTTCTCATATCTCAAACTTTTCAGTGACAGCATATGCTCATTTCTTTATTTCCTTACTTTATCAAAAAAAAGCTCAGTTGACCAGTGTTAGTAAGGATGAATTCATATAGGGCATCAGGAGTTGGAGAAACTGTAACTTTGCATTTGTTTTGTTAACCCAGCCCACCTCTACAGCAATATGACATTAAGATAAATGTCAACATGGTTATATACATTTTTATATAACAATATAAAAATACTTTGCCAGGCTAGACTCATGCCTGTAATCCCATCACTTTGGGAGGCCAAGGTGGGAGGATTGGTTGAGTCCAAGAATTCGAGACCAGGCTGTCTCAATTCTTGGTTGAGTCCAAGAATTCAAGACACAGCAAGATCTCATCTCTACGAAACACAGAAAAAAGTAGCCTGACAATATGGTGAGTGTCTGAAGTCCCAGTTACTATGGAGGATGAAGCAGAACGATCACTCAAGTCCAGGAGTTGAAGGTTATGGTGAGCTATGATGCTATTGCACTCCAGCCTAGTTTAAAAAAAAAAAAAGCAAGACCCTATCTCAATAATATATATTTTTCTTATAGACAGTTGCATTGAATTGTTTATGACTTTTGTTTAGAAAGTTTCAGAATTATTTGGCCAGGACATAATTTTAAGTCTAACTTTGAGGAAAAATCATAATTTGGGAAAATAATAATTTTCTTTCATATCAAATTCATGGGTAGGTATCTTCTCTATCTTCTGATATACAAAAATATATAATTTGTGCAGCTATGCTAAACTAAATTCATCTTCATGAGAGTTATTCAAATCACTGAATCATCAGAATATATATGGAACCAAACTTAACAATATTGAGAAAAAGGATAATTCTCGGAAATGAAAGACAATTCATACTAAATCAATCAAATTCTGTTCTGATTCCTTTACAGAGATGATAAGTTTTCGTTAAAATGAACTATTTTCTAAAAGAAAATTAGGAGAGAAAATTTTATTGAAAAAAATAGTTAAATGTCTCAAGAGAGTGGAACTTAGGGCAGAGTGGAAAGTGTCTTAGCTGAATTCCTTCTCTCTTGACTGGCCTCCTGCCCCCTTCTCACTTGAACTTTGTACAGGGAGATTTGGGAGTCTTCACATCAACAGCGGGAGCCACAATCCACTGATTCAGCAAGTATTTTGGCAACATCTGTGCTAAGTGTTGGAGTAACAAATATGAACAATATCTACCCCCTGATCATAGGGAGTTAGGCTCTCACTTTTTATCTCATCCGTGGCATGAAGTTGACAGAGCTAAGCCAATTCCTCTGACCTGCTATCTATCTTTTGTTATGACCAGATGGCATAACCATTTGGTCATAAGACAAACATTTCCCAGTTTTTAAAATATTTGGGAATTGAAAACTTCAAATAGTCGAGACATTCCCCTTAGGTTGATCAGTTCTGTCATGCACGTGTGTTTCTTTTCAAATAATTTCCCTATCCTATCACTCAAACTTCCGAGTCACTCCTCCAGAAAATAGAGTGATACCAGCACCATTTAATACGTATGTAGTATAAACTGATGAACATAGGCATAGATAACAGAATTAAGTGATCTTGTTTCTCTATTATCCTCTTGCCTAAATGTTTGAATGCAAATGACGAACCCACATCATCTTGGAAGGTAGTTCACACCCAATCACAGAGGTTTCCAGAGGTTTTCCATGCATTGTGTGCAGCCTGATAAAGTCAGAGACAGCCTCAAACTAGTTCATGGATCAAACCTTCAGAGAGCTATTTTTCATAATTTAACCACCGGCAGATGACAAGAACAAATTGTTTTGTTTGTGATTTTTAACCATGTAGTTTAGTTATTTATTATCTCCTTGAAACAAATTCACCCAAATGGTCCGCGCTAATATAATACCGCTGCATACTGCAATTTAAAACATCCCCTAGCAAGTTGAGAGATAAATTACTTTAGTCCCCCTGTGTCTACTGGGAGTTAAAAATTAAATCTGAGTAAAATAGACCTTTCCATCTTAAAAATGTATATTGTGAGTGACAGACAGTCCCATGC